ACTTGGTGAAGCCTGTGGTGGCTCACACCTTTAATCTCAGCACTTGGGAGGCAGAGGCAGGTGGAACTCTGAATCTGAAGCCAGCTGCTCTACAGAGTGAGCTCCAGGAACAGCCAGGGCTACAGAGAGAACCCTGTCTCAAAACGAAAACAAGCAGCACAAACAAACAAACAAACAAAAAACCCCAACTCAGCGGGCTTCAGTTTACCTCACAAACTAGGTTACGTTATAGTACTGGGGAAAAGAGGTCTATCTATACTTCATAAACCACACAATTAATTCCGTCAAAATTAGTGAATTTTTGTATCAGGAAGCAGCCCTAAATAGAAAAACAAAACAAAACCAATGGATGTGATCAGTCCCTATAAGTTTTACCTAACAGACAAGAACATTTTGAGATTCACATAAGTTTTACACTGTAAAATATTCTTTTAGCTCTTTCTCAACTCTTTTAAACATGGAAAATCCACTCATACCTCACAGGTCATTAAAAACCCAATTAAAAACCCAGCAGAACTGGGGTGCCGCACAAAGTTCATGCTTAGCACATGAAGGTCTGGGTTCAATTCTCTAATTCTACCCAAAATCAAAGTACAACAGCACAAAACAGAGCTGCAGGTCTCTGTTTGCTAAGGAGGGCTGATACAGAGGCAGATCCGTATGGCTTCTCCCTTGAGCTGGCAAAACCACCTTCTCTGTGAGCAGCTCTACCTGTTTTCAGTGATCCAGAACTTCTTCTGGACTACAGGCAGAAAACTCTTCCCAAATACCCGTATACTCCCCTCGACAGAACAACCATACTTATGTTCTCATGTATTGCCTGCCACACTGCATAGAAATTAGACAGATTTAAGTTATTTGTTGAGTCAAGTGTTCTCTTGATTTAACTGTGGAATAAAAATATATAACTATAGTGAAAGGAAAACACTTGTCATTATTCTCAGCAGTCGATATGATTTCCTGTGTAAGGAACATGCAGAAATTGCTACACAAATTATTAAAATAATGCAAAGTCCCACGAGGATGTCATAGGTAAGCTCAATGCATAAGACAATCTATTGTATTTTTGTATAATTCATGATAGAAACAAAAATGTAAAGTAACTAGAAATAAACCCCAGTGTTTAACCTATATAAAGAAAACTGTGAAGTTTGTTTGAGACCTTCTTTTGAAAAAACAAATCATGATTGTATCTGACATGTTCATAGCTCAGAAGATTCACTATTGTAAGGCCATCAATTCTCTACAAGTTAACTCACAATCTCATTGCAACTTCAATAAAGTTCAAAGTTGCTTATGACAATTAAAGACACAGTTTTAAAATATATACTGAGAGTTGGGTCTGGTGGCATAGACCTGTAATTCCAGCTACTTGCAGGGGGGGGGGGTGAGACAGGAGGATGCCAAGTTGGAGACTAGCCTGAGCTATAGGGTGAGTTCAAGGTTAGCCTGGGCAACTTAGTAAAACCCTGTCTCAGAATGAAGAAGGGTTAGACCTAAAAACCATATAGATACAAGCAACACTAAATGGAGCCAGCCAAAAGCCCTGGCTTCAATACTCAGTACCATGAAACAAACTAAAAGGAAAGATTCAAATTAGCTGTAAAGGAAGATACTTTACTGGAACAGGTATCAAGATTTGATCTAAAACAATGAAAGAAAGGAAGAGACTGGGAATGACAAGGTAGACAAATGCACCAGTGATACAGAACAGAGAACCCAGAATCAGAACCACACACATCAAGGAGCTTGATGGGCAACAGATGTGGCCTTACAAATAAAAGATAAGCCAGAGCAGTTAATTATCTATGTAGAAGAAATGATACCACATTCATTTCTCAAATAAAAATAAAACCGATGAAAGGTGAACTAAAGATTTCCATGGGTATCTACATATTCTCTTTCCAATTAAATAGCTTCATTTCTAGAACTAATTATAACAATAATGATGATTTTAGTTTTTTGCAGTTTTAGATTATGTTGGGTGCAGTGTCATATGCACATATGGAGCTAAGGGGAAAACATGCCATCATAAGTTCCCCAGTTATGATTCGGAACAAATTCAGGCCATCGGGCTTGCCAGTGAGTGCCTTTACCAGGTTAAGACAGTAGGGCCAGCCTTAAAACAAGAGTAAAAAGCCAGGCATGGTGGCACACACCTTTAATCCCAGCACTCAGAAGGCCAGTGGCAGGCAGAGAACTATGTGAGTTCAAGGCCAGCCAGCCTGATCTACAAAGTCCAGGACATCCAAGGCTACACAGAGAGAAACCCTGTCTCAGAAAAACCAACTAACCAAATAAACAAACCCAACAATAAAAACAGGAAATATCCAGGCACAGTGATGTGTACCTAGCACCCCAGTTCTAAGGAAGTCTATGTCTTGTTTGGCATCAGCCTGAGAGACATAACAAGATCTCATCCCAAAATCAAAACAAAACCCAATAAACAGACCTTGGAAATGAAAATATACATTCAGAGGATTTGATGCTCCTTTCTGATCACCATGGACACCTACATACATAAGTGTGTACACACACACACACACACACACACACACACACACACACACACGAACAAACACAAATAAATCCTTTTAAAAAATATACCAACCCAAGCATAGAGACACTTATGCCTGCCTATAATCACAGCACTTGGGAGGCTGGTATAAAAAGAGCTTAGGTTTCGGAGCGGCATCTCTATACTGAGATGCAGGATTGGTAGGCTACGCCATCAATCAGCAAACAATCAAAAATCTAAATGGCCACCAACTAATGGAAGTGTAAGTACAGGTAATGAAACACTCTTCACTGAAAAAGAGGACAAAGTCCCGGGTACAAACTACACTTACATATGAAACTGTTAAAAGAAACTTAGAAATGCTAAGTGAGGGGGTTGGAGAGACGGTTCAGTGGTTAAGAGCACTGGCTGATCTTCCAGATGGCTCAGTGGTTAAGGAGCTGGGTTTAATCCCCAGAACCCATGTGGAAGCTCACAACTGTCTGTACCAGTTTTAGGGGATCCCATGCCCTCACAGAGGCATACATGCAGGCAAAACACCAATGCATGTAAAATAAAAACAAATTATTAAAAAGAAATGCTAAGGGAATGCTGGGCGGTGGTGGCTCTCACCTTTAATCCTGGCACTCAGGAAGCAGAGGCAGGCAGATGGGTATCTGATTTCCAGACCAGCCTGGTCTACAGAGTTCCAAAACAACCAGGGCTACAGAGAAAGCCATGTCTCAATTCCCACCCCACCCCCACCCCAAGAAAAAAGCTAAGTGAAAAAAGCCAGTTACAACAGGCTATATATAGTGCAAGCTTCCTCTAGTATGAAATGTTCACAAGAGGAAAATGTATATACAGAGTGGGTTGAGGGTTGCCTTAGAGATCTGTTTGAAACTGGATGATTTGTCTATCAACCTGTTTGTCACCTAATTGTCTAGCTGCAATTTCACAGCCTGTACGATGTGCAAATGTTAAATTAAATACAGTAGGATTGTGTATGATCCCTGTTTGAGGCCAGCCTGATCTACAGCGTGAGTTCCAGGCCAGCCAGAGCCACACAGTGAGACCCTGCCTAAGAACAAAAACTGGAATATAAGCTTAGCCTGATTATTCAGTGGCCTTAAAATGTTAGAATATTGATAGCTGCACCCCATAAACAATAAACAGCAGAACTATTTTCAGACTTCCTGTTAGCATGTGTCCTGAATAACTGAAGAGCAAAACCAACCAGTTCTCTCACTCTCTCTCAGAAGTATTAGCAGCACAACGATTCAGGGAGGAGACGTTGAAAGTCCCTGTCATACGCTCACCTAGTAAACAGCACGCCAAACACACAGTCTCGCTTTTTGGAATATTTAGATCGGATACGAATTTTTAGATTTTTTTTTTTTCTTGCAACCCAAATGTGACTACCTATCAACCAGGGGTTAAAAAGGAAGGGACTCTGTATGTCAGTCTTCCTTCCTAATTTCATCGTTCTTCCTGGGTGCGCGCCTGATTCAGGGACACACATACTGAAACTCCCTGTGGGTTAAGAAAGCCCATACTGGAGTTTTACAATACAGTTGGCATTTCCCAATCCTGTGCAATGAAAGGGCCAATGAAAAGACGCAATGAGTTCCCCCGGATTATTTTTAAGAGACCGGTCTGAAAGAGTAACAAACCACACGAGAGAGCTAGATCCGGCAAGGCCAGCCCTCGAATACATTTCACTTGCATGTAAAAAGATTATTAAATTGTAAACACAAGCATCAGTTGCAAACCCTGGGGAGCGCAAAATGCGGAGGCCAAAGGAAGCAGGCTAAATAAATAAATAAATAAATAAATAAATAAATAAATGAATAAATAAATAAATAAATAAATGAGACTTCCATTAAAGACTCCTTGATGGTCCCTGATGCCCCTGATGTCGTTTGCCACTACGGTCAGCACAGTTCCTGGGACTGCAAAGCGGAGCACCGTCACAGTTACCGCCAGCAACAATGTAACAACTAACAACTGGTTCTGCAGACCACAGAGAAGTGAAGTCAGTGTCTCAACAAATCAGCAACCGGTCCTTTAGAAACTCACTCAGACTACTTCCTCACCTTTCGGCTTTTCCTTTAAGTGCCATCGCTCTACCGCTCGGAAGAGCCTGTGTCAGAATCACACCACTGTTGTAAAAACACCGCCTAGCAAGAAAGTTAACGCCTTTACATCGCGGACACCACGTACCGCGGAGAAACCGGGACTCAGCTACCAAAAGTACTCGAAGGGTCAGGCGTCTGAGAAACCATCTCTAACTGTATCAGAACACAGTGTTAGTGGTTAAGATCCCAGATTTCCCCCATCAGTTAGTTTTCTAGAACTCGGACCAGGCCTGCTTGTGGGTAATGTGCGAAGCCGTGGGGTAGGGGTTTGGGACTGGAAGAGCCAAAAAAAAAAAAAAAAAAAAAAAAAAAAAGTGCAGAGAGCACCTGGAACTCGTCGGTGGCGCCGAGGGGCGCAGCGTTACCTGCCAGCGGCCGTACGTGAGCAGGACCAAGGCGATGGGGATGGCGGTGCCGGACATGGCGTGCGTGGAGGGCATGCTGTATTCCGAGTTGTAGAAGACCTCCAGCTTGACCACAGGCGGCGAGGCCGGCCGCGGCCAGCGAATGATGTCCTTGGTGCACTGGCCCAGGTACATGACCAGCACCCAGATGATCACCAGCCTCCGGCCCACAAAGGGGTCGAGGTTCCAGATCCAGAAGGGGAAGAAGAGGATGTAGAAGAGCTCATTGCCCAGTTCGGTGCCGAAGCAGAACAGGTAGTAGAGCGGCCAGTTGCTCACCCTGACCGGCTCGCCCTCCTCGCCCGTCAACGAGTTGCGGCGCAGCGAGCCCGCGCGGCGGGGGCCTCCCGGGCCCGGATCGGCCGCCAGCCCGTTGCGCACGCCGTTGGGGGTGCCGGAGCAGTCGGGCTTGGCGGGGCCGGAGGGACCGCGCTCCGCGGCCGGCTGGCGTCCCCGTCGGCGGGGGTCCCCCGCGGCCCCGCGAACCTCGCTCTCCGCATCCTCGCCCGCCGCCGGGCTGCCGGGGGGCGCCTCCACCCCGCACAGACGCTGGAAGCTCGCCACCCGCTGCGGCTCCTGCAGGCTGACGGCCAGCCGCGCCAGCCGCTGCCCCAGGGACATGGTCGCGGGCCGCACTCGGGAAGGGATCCGGCCACGCGCGCTCCCCCGCC